ATTTATTTTAGATAAAACTTTCACTGACTATGTTCACTCATTGTTTAATTTCCTCATAATTCCACAGAGTAGAAATTACTTCAGATTTCGAACAACTCTTAATTTTCCTCATAACTTCAGGTTTGAGAGTATGTAGTTTACTTCTACAATCTCAAGGTGGTGAATCCAGTCAGACAAATAGTGTGGACAATTCCGCCTAGCTGTACTATCAGCTTCTCCAAGATCAATTCCATCTGGCCAGCAAAGTCCAGGGATCACAGCCGGCCCGCGACCCTCAGCAGAGCCGCTTGCAGACCGAGTCCAGCTCGCTCAAGGCAAATGTCCGAGTGCTGATGGTGCTGAAGGTGGCGGTGATATGCATTCCTTCAAGGAATGCTAGGCCTTGAATTGTGTTTTTGTGTCTCTGACATCCAGTAACACTAATTCTGTCCACTTCAATCATTTAGTTCAGATTTCAGTTTGAACCTTCAGCTCACAGCTTTTATTCTTTATTCAGATTGAGGAGCTGCAGTTTGTCAGAGATCAGCTGTTCCTCTCTGGGCTCAGCTCTGAAGTCCAACCCCTCCCATCTGACACAACTGGACCTGAGCTACAACAACCTGTATGACTCTGGAGTGAAGGATCTGTGTGGTTTCCTGGAGAGTCCAAACTGTAGACTGRAGGTTCTGAGGTCAGTTCACTGCATCTGTTGGAGGTTTCCTATGATTGTCCAACTAAAATCATTCACTGATCCTTCACAATTAATTCATTTCGAAATGAAGTTCAACTTGAACACGTCTGTTTTGAGTTTTCTCTTTCCAAACATTTAAAAACCTTTTTAGAACTAAAACCTGTTTTCTGCTGGTTTGAACCTTTAAAGAACTTGTCCTGGTTTAAATATTAAACATCAGTTTTCACCTTCAGCTCTGTGTGGGTTTTGATATTGAATTTTCTCATCATGACAGATCAGTAAAAATTCACCAAACTAGGATCAGGGATTAARCTGGATTTTGCTGTAATCCTGGAGGATTTTGAAAGATAGCATGTTGTTTTCCTTCCGGTCAAGTTGAGAAGTAGAAAACAAATCCAGAATTGGACTTGAATGTTTCATTGAAAGAAATAAAGCCAAACAATCACCAGCAGCTGGAGCAAAATTCAGACTGTTTATTCAGTCAGAGGATTTTGTTGAGGAATGAAAACAAACACATTTGATCCATTTTCTTCTGGGTCTGGCCACTCCCTAGGGACAAGAGGTCACATGGATCGGGAGGATCTTGTCTCCCCAGTGGTCAGACTTGTGAGGATTTGGCATGAACAGACCCAGGGCGCAGGCAGGCTCCAAAAGTAGAACAAAAATTTATTTTAAAATAACAAAAATGCTGTAGACAGCTGAACTTACAGGAGGCACGAGGATCACACAGGCAGGGGGAACAAAGCACAGAGAACCAGAACCAACACACATCAAACAATGATCCGACCAAAGACAGAGACAGGACAGGGCTTAAATACACAGAAAACTAATTACTAAACAGAACACACCTGGGGGGAAACACAAGGGTGACAATCAAGGAAATGTGGGGCAGCTGGGCTGAGAAACACAGGGGAACACTGAAAACACTAGAAAACTAAGGAAAATAAACACAGACCATGACAAAATTGAATTTCTGTGGTTGGGATTCAGAAAAGTACATATACTTAGGTTTATGTTGACATGTTTTTTTTTTAATACTTTAAAGATTTTTTTGTTTTTTTGATCATTTAATTGGTGATTTAATGATCAGATGGGGGAGTGTAATAGAACTAATGCTTTATGTTTAAGCAGGTGATTCATGAC